ATAAATTATAAATAGACAATAGGGACAACTAATATATACGCATGTGATAAGAGGCGCCGTGATATCCTTGTGTAAATATAAATGAAGATTTACACAGTAAAATCTAGCTTACACATTATGTTAAAATCATAGTGACTTTTTCACCTTTATATTTAGTGTCTTTTAGCCTGCTTTCAGGCGTTTCCAAAAAAAAAAAACTTAGAAAGAAATATAAACGTTACCGCACAATAATATATTATATACATACCATGATAGAAGAATATACATAGGTAGTCAGTCGCATCGACCCAGCTGCTGGCACAAGAAACTGTCAAGCCAATTTTGAAACTGAAAATTTCGAATGAAAAATTATTTAAATTCGTTAAAGTTGATGAAAATGCATAACATGCATATATTATAAAAATCTACTTATTTTTGAAGAAAGAAACATTTAAAAATTTTTGACATATCAATTTCCCAAGCGTTATGCCATACTTTTTTTATTTTTTTTAATTTTATTTATTTTTATTAATTTATTTTATTAATTTTAATTAAGCAAAAAAGGCGGAATTCGCACACAATTTTGGAATAAGTTTAGATTTATTCGAATTGGTCACCTTTGGCACGAATTATGGCCTTCAAACGGTCAATGAAACCGTCACAAGCTGCGGTATTTTGGCCCATTCCCGGCGAAGCGCTTGCTTGAGGTGATCGACATTTTGGTATTTGTTAGAGCCAACCTTGCTTTCCAGATACAACAGTCCAACGAATTGGTATCCGGAGATGGTGCACTGGAAATGAAGCGAGGAACCTCATTTTGTAACCATTTTTGGGTGGCGCATGCTGAGTGCGATGGTGCTGAGTCCTGTTGGTATGTCCAAGGTCTGCGGTCTGCGGCACAAATGTTTGCGTGCCCAAGGCTTTAATACACCCTCCAGAATATTTTCCCGATAAAATTCTTGGGTGGCGCATGCTGAGTGCGATGGTGCTGAGTCCTGTTGAAATGTCCAAGGTCTGCGGCCAAAATGTTTGCGTGCCCAAGGCTTTAATACACCCTCCAGAATATTTTCGCGATAATATTCTTGGGTGGCGCATGCTGAGTGCGATGGTGCTGAGTCCAGTTGAAATGTCCAAGGTCTGCGGCCAAAATGTTTGCGTGCCCAAGGCATTTTTTTCTCGATTAATACGAGTGGAGAGCGACCATTGGCTGTTATGGCGGCCCACACCATCACCATGGCCGCCGGCGCTTGAGTTTTGGTAGCCAACCGAAGGTAAACATTTTCAGCTGACCTCTTTGGCAAGTAAACACCATAATTTTGTTTGTTTACAAACAGCTGGACAACGAATGTTTTCTCATCGGAGAAAACCAAATTCGGCTGCTCACCACTTCCGGTCAAGCGAAGCAACTCTTTAGCTCTATTGAGTCTATTTTATACCCTCCATTATATACCCTATATTAATTTTGTCATTCCGTTTGTAACTCCTCGAAATACTCATGTCAGACTGTCTGTGTGTTAGTCTGTCTGTCTGACTGTCCGTCTGTCTGTCTGCCTGTCTGTTGTAATCACGCTATCTTTCGAACAAATTGAGATAGAAGGCTAAAATTTTGCACACATGTATATTTTGCCAATAGGCAGGTTAAGTTCGTAAATGGGCCATGTAGGTCCAAGTTATCATATAGCCCCCATATAACTGTACCTCCCGATATTCAGTATTTTGATGATTTTAGCGACATTATTCACCGGGATTGTTTCAAATTTGGCATTTGAAGTTCGTAATGACTACTACAGCCTAAGACAGAAAATTATCTGTGCAGGTCCACGTCTTCGTGTAGCCCCCATATAACGGTACCCGCCGATATTCGGTATTTTGATGATTTTAGCGACATTCTTTACCGGAATCGTTTCAAATTTGGTATTTGAAGTTCGTAATAGATACTAAATCCTAAATCAAAAAATGAGCCATGTAGGTCCACGTCTTCGTATAGCCCCCATATAAGGGTACCCCCCGATTTTCGGTATTTTGATGATTTAAGCGACATTATTTAGCGAAATCGTTCCAAATTTGGTATTTGAAGTTCGTAATGGATACTACGGCCTAAGACAGAAAATTTTCTGTGCAGGTCCACATCTTCATATAGCCCCATATACCGTACCCCCCGATATTCGGTATTTTGATGATTTTAGCGACATTATTTATCGGGATTGTTTCAAATTTCGCATGTGAAGTTCGTAATGGATACTTCAGCCCATGCCAGAAAATTGTCTGTGCAGGTCCAAGTTTTCGAATAGCCCCCATATAACGGTACCCCCCATATTCGGTATTTTAATGATTTTAACTACATTATAAACAGATTTTTCTTCAAGTTTCACATTTAAATTATTGTAATAACTTATGACAAAATATGCCTATGCAGGCCCACGTCATCGTATAAGAACTCGGTATTCTTAAGATTTTAACAGAATTTTTAACGGATTTTATTTTTTTGAAATTGCCAAATTTGTACCAAATGGTGGAGGGTATTAAAAGTTCGGCCCGGCCGAACTTACAGCTTTTTTACTTGTTCTTTCTGTTGCGGTGTAAGTTTTATGCACTTTTTGGAATTTCAATGGCTTAACCCCGAGCTCATTTTTCAATATTTGCCGAATGGAGCTCACGAGCCATTTTTCGGCCACAGCGACGCGGGTTTCGATCAAGTCGCTTCTTTATTATTCGAACCATTTCTGCTGATGTTGCTGTTTTCTTCCGTCCACTTCCTTGACATCGGAGACACAAAAGATTTATTCACATTTAAATACTGGAGTGCTCTAACGATAGCTACTTGTGGTTTTCCAGCAAAATATAAAGGAATCGCGCTTGAATTCCATCACGAATAACATTTTTTTCTGGAAAATTCTCACTAAAATTCTTTCGTACGCTTGTAAACAATATAATGAGCTGTCACTGGAATAATTTAACAGCTGTCAGACGTGTGGCTTAGAAATGACAGCAGTCTGAAGTTGGTTGCAGTTTTTTCATCTCAACCTGTATAATGTCGTAATGTCTACGAACTTACAAATCATTGTATTTTATTATCTAATAACGTGAGAATTCATCGCGCGAGTTATGTATTTAAGATAAGTTTTGGATTCTATTTTATTTTAATAATTCATCAACTATTTCCTTTGAATTAATTTAATCATTAGTTTATTTTGTCCTTTTCTATTAACTTTTCCCAGGAACATAGCAGTAGAGGATGGTGGGGCATCAAGTGGAGTTGATAAAATACCAAGATAACAGATGTTATTTCCATCTGTTGAAAACGGGTCTCGTTATGACTAATACCACACTGACGCCATCTGTACTTTAATTGTAATAACTATTTATACCATATGTTGTCCGTTTATGGTGAATAATTTTTTTTAGTACTTAGCACAGACACAGAGTCATGCTGTCATTCACAATAAGCAAGTGATTATTGTAAATAACAACTGTATTTGATGGTTTTATTTTAAATCAAATAAAAAAATAATTTTTAACAATTAAAAAAATTAAAAACTGGTTATTACAATATCAGCTGTTTACGATTTATGGGTATCATTTCATATATGACTCCCTTTCCCCATTTGGTCTCTTATTGTTATTGTCCCTGTGTCGTTGTCCTCCTGTCTCATTGGAACGAACACAACATACTATACACAGTGGTGAAATCTCCAATATCCTTTTTTTACAAATCGTCAAAGCCCCTCGTCGCATGAAGAAAAACTGCACTCGTTGCTTTGGCAAAATCAGCAGCATTATTACTCCACCACAGAACAGAGAGGTGGAAACACGTCGTCGTCGTCGTTGTCGATTGAAAAAAGTTTGCGTTTTTTATTGTAATTGTAGAAAGTTTAGTTGAGAAAAAATAGAAAAAAAAATTATAATAAATTTAAAAGTTCTAAAGAAGAAACAGATTTGTTGAAAAGAATCGCTGTATCGTCCGACAAATAAAAGATGCAGTGCTAAAGTCATTTGTAAAAGTCAGCCATATGAATTTATAATTGGCATTTGGAAAGAAAGAAAAAACGGAAGTAAAATTTTCTCGTGAAAAAAGGAATACGAAGCAGAAAAGAAATTCCATAGGTGATGGCGAAAAAAATATGTAAAATGTGTTATAAATTAAAAGGCCAAAATAACATACATAAGCAAATATTTGTGGTTATAGATTTGGAAAGTTCTTTGGCAGTGAAATTCAGGCAAATGGTGTGATGCAAAATCAAATATTTTAAAGGGAAAACTACTAAGCGAATTTCCAAAAAGAAAATCTTGATTTTGTTCTTATTGGTAATTTGAGGAAGTGTTGGTGGGCTACGCTGTGAGTAAGTGAGCTGTGTGAGAGTGTGTATGTGTCCCATAGGCTGGTTGGCTCTTATAGTGAAGTAAAATCAAAAGCAAGAAAAAAATATTTTGTGTCCTACTGAGTAAAGGGAGTGTGACATATATATGCCAAAAAAGGAGAGAGAGAGCGAGAAACGTGGAGAGATAAAACAACAGTGAGTGAGTGAGTGCGGTGAAAAGCCAAAGAGTACCAGGTGCTCTGCCAGTGTTACCGCTGGGAATTTTGAAAAAGTTGCACAAAAAGTCATTTTCATACAAAAAAGTCGCACAGAAAAGTCAGAATTTCAATAAAAAGTCGCACAGATTAATTTTGAAGATTTTTATTCAAACAAAGAACATAAAACATAAAAAACATAAAACTAAATAACAATTCAATAAAAAATAATACAAAATTAAATTATAATTTCATTTTTTTGAAACTTCGTTTCTGTATTTTTGTACGAGATCATCACTGGGATTCCATTCCTCTATTCCTGCATCTAGCAAATTTAGAGCTGATAGCATGGATCCACAAGTTGTTACATTTAATCTATTAGTTAATTTTGTTTTCATTAGTCCTAATTTAGAAAAAATTCTTTCCGCAGAAGCGCTGCTATGGGGCAGGGTTAATACATGTGCGGCAAAATCGTATAGGTGTAAATATAAAGGTTCGTTTAAAAGCATTTTTTAAACTACCTATAGTATGCCAAAAAATCTCAACATTTTTAATGTTAAAAATGTGTTTGTATGACTTATCATTAACTTTACTTTCTAATAGTTTGAATTCGCTAATAAAAGCTTCAGGTTCACTTATAATATAATTAAATTCATATATGAGATCAATATAATTAAAGTCTTCGTTTGAGGTAAAAAATGTTGGTTGCAAAACTCTTAAAACATTTAATTGTTTATCGTTTATATTTATCCTTGACAGTATCTCGTCACAAAGTTTTTGGTAAAATTTTAAAATATTGTTTTTTATAGTTATGCATTCAACATCAAGTATATTTTAGCTTGCATTTCTGTTTCAGCTTCATGACCTATATATATATTTAAAACATCTTTTATATTATGTGTATCTTTAAAATTTATACTTTCTAGCTTTGTGACCGATATATATTCCTTCTTCAGGAAATTTTGTAAAATTTGGAGTAAAATTTCCTTTGTATATGTAATCAGGTATACTATTTGTGATGACTCGCTTTGAAAGCATTTGTTAAATTTATTCATAAGACCCAAAATATATACCAAGAATTTTAAATAAATGAGGTTTTCAGACGACAATCCATCTTGAATTGCACGTATTTTATCCATTGTCCTTGGACATTTTTCTTCACATTGAGCCCGAAGGAAATAATGTTGTAATATCGTCCATTGTTCTACAATTCGTTTTGCCACCGACTCGAACGAAAGCCATCTAGTATCCGAAAGACTTAAAAGCTTGTGTTCTGGGACATTGAACATATCCTGCAATTCTGAAAAATCTACTCGCCTGTTTGAACTTTTGAAAAAATTATAAATGTTCTTGGGTAACTTTTCAACTTCTTCTGGTATACATTTCAAAGCTGAAATATTCATAAGATTTACAGAATGACAAACGCAACCAAGATGGAACAGGTGGGGGATTTTCTTTTTTAATAAACTAGACACCCCAATGTTTTTCCCAACCATACTGGAAGCGTTGTCAGTTGCAAACCCGATAAAATTTTCTAAGGGAATCTTATTATTTTCTAGTGATTCAATAACGGCATTACAAATTGTTTCGCCTTTTTCATTTTCTGGTTGTACTAATTGAAAAAAATTATCTTCAGTCTTTCCTCGGTCCTTGTTGAATTGCCTCACTACCATTACTAGACATTTATTGATGGAAATGTCGGTTGTCTCGTCTATAATGAGGCTAAATTGTTGTTTTTGCATTTTAGAGACTATAGCGAGTTGACCTTCTTTACCGAGAAACTGTGCAATTGCAGTTGATTTTGTACGACCACATGATACCTTAATAATTAAACAATATATATACCTATTGCTTTTTGGTACCAAAATATGTTTACATACCAATTTAGCTATATTTGAATCAGGAAAAATCATGGAATTGAATTTACCAAGTCCGTCCATAGAATTGAAAGATTGGTTTTTTGTAATTGCACGTAACACCAACTTAATTTCAGCAATAGCGACATGTTTTCGTAAGTCTGTATTTCGATGTGGCAAATAATCAGTCAGTTGTATTTTCGCATTTTCAGATGTTTTGGTTATGTTACTAAGATGTTTCTTTGTTTCAGCATGTCGTCGAAGATGGTTTTTTTGGTTTGACAAAAGTTGTTTACAAACAATGCACAGGGGCCGCTTTGTCTCACCATCTTGCTTAAGCCACCTGTATTGCATCTCCCATTCCTTGGAATAATACCGGGAAATATTGCGTTTTTTGGAGGAACATGAAGGTTCTTCATCATTTTCCGATTCGGACTCGGTGTTCTTTTCAGATTCTGAACTTGTTTCAATTATCGTGTCAGCTCCTTTGCCCAGGGTCAGCCTTGCTTTGTTGGGAGATTCATCGTCAGCCTTTCTTTTTGATCTAACAATAAATCTATTAAGTTTAAACATTAATATTTGAAAAATTAAAAAAAAAAAACAAATATTTACCTGTCCATAGAAGATTTTTACAAACACTTGTTTTTAATATAAAATGAGCACAAGCGTCTAAAAACTGAATATTGTTTTCAAAATAACACAAAATACTAATTATTTACTTCACTGAATTCAATTTAATGCTGTACTCTTTATTTTTAATTATATATTTAATTGCACTCCTCTTTCGCCAATGTGATGATAGTGATGATACTATAATGGAGCAAAATTTCATTACACAAAACTACATGACCCCCATATTGGAATGTTATGAAAATTACGTTTTTTAATTGAAAGCTAATTTTTTGTTATTTAATTTTTAAAAATATGTATTTTTCATTTTTAAATGCTTTATTTAGTTGAAAGTGTAAAAAAGAAATTTCATAAAGCAAAAATATATTTTTGGGAGCATTAAATGAAAGAGCAACATATTTTGAGAGAGAGTATTTTAATCATTCACAATAGAGTCTTACTAAAAACAAATAACAATCTCATAACGGAGAGAGCCCACGTCAATGAGAAAACGAACAGGAGAAAAAAGGTGGAAAAACACAATCAAGTGAGAAATCCAAATATATTGTTCGTGTGTTTGTGGAAAAAACATTTTTGTGAATGAGTGTGTCAAAAACAATTAACATCGTATAGTGTAGCATACTTTAAGGCATGGTATCATCGAGCAAATACGACGACGACAACGGGCCACAATAATTACACACATTCGCACACACACACACACTGCTGCTTCCTCTTCGTTGCCTTACCCAACACATACGAAAAATGAAAAATAACAAAATAAAGGATAACAAAACGGCCATTTGACCAGATTTACAAAAAAATTAAATAAAAAAAATACAGTTTTTTGTCTAAAAATTATAAATAATTTATTCTCAACCCACAGCCCAGAATCAAGTGACCCAGAGTGCAAAACGAAACGTGAGCAAGCAAGAATGTCTAAAAATATTTGCTAAAAGAGATGTAATTATTATGAGAGTGATATAAATTCTAAAGAATCCTGTTAAAAGAAGCAAAAGAAAAGAAGAAAAAAACAACAGCAACAACGATAATAAATCCGAGAATTCCATTCATCATTCCCTGTGAAAAAAAAATAAATATTATCCCCAAACCATAACCAAAGTGCTTAATTCCAACAATATTGAATCCTTGAAAATATAAAACAAATTCTTAAACATAAATTTCCATAAAAACAAAAAAGAGAAAACATTTTTGAAAAACAAAAAAATAAACTTCACAACGACCTACTACCACACATTTTGTTGTTATTGTTCTTCTTCTGCTGCCTACTTCTTCATATATTCATGCAGTTGTTGTCTACTTTATCTCCAGCAGAAGCTATACCACAGAAAGTCGTAGCATTCAGCGAACCAGTCAGCCAGCCAACAGCAGAAACTATTGTAAATGTAAGTTTGTTCAACATTATCCTTATCATATATCATTTTGCTCTTCTTCCTTGTTGGTTGGTGGAATAACTACAACAACAACAACAAATCGTTTATAATTCGATTTATTCCACTACATACTTTTGGCATATTTCCGCCTTTCCTTATAAATAGCAAATTCGCTCGTTTACCTCATTTATTCGCTTATTTTATTGCTTCGCCTTTTGCTTCTTCTTCTTTTTTGAGGGAAAATGTATATGGGAGACTGACACATTGCTATCTCTCACAACTCGTTACAAACAATCTTTTTCCTTTTAAAATCATTTCGTTTTGCTTTGCTAAAATGCAGTTTTCATAACAGATTATTTTTATTTTTTTAATAAACAAATATCCATGTTTTTGTTTTTTTTTTCGAATCGCTCCCTGTAAAATATTTACACATTTCACAAATGACAATTAGTCATGTAAAATGTCATTTGGTGTATGTCATATGTCAACAAATGAAGATAATGTTGTTTTTTTTTGGGTAGTTGTGTTTTGTGGCCTAAAATAGAATGTGAAATGTCATTCAGTTTCAACAGGAGACTCATTAGATTAGATAAATCTACAAAAATTCGTGAATGTCAACCGAATGCGTCACACGTAATTTTGTGAAAATATTAATTTATTTTCAATAAGGCATTTTAACCAACCGGAATTTGGTGTAAATATAGACTTGCTATTTGCCTAATTATAAGTCCTTTAAAGAGTAATAGGTCAAAATAATCATGGTGGGCAATAATTGTATTGAATGTCTTGAGTGTAAACCATGTCAAAATTGAGGTGGTAGATTCATGCAATTTTCAGTTGACAATGTTTTCAAAATCATTCATTTCATGACATTTCACTGTCAACATTTATATTTATAAATCAATTGTATATACTCAAATCAGAGATGGGAACCTTTCATCTGTGGATTGAAATATGACACGATACATTACAGAAATGATAGAATAAATTAAAACCTTTTTTCTACCATGTTGTAAATGTAGCTGTGTACAAATAATATGTATTTTAGAATATCGAATCGGTTTCGATGTTACAATAACATCAGCAGTGGGATTCTCTTAGTGATTTTTTGAGCTACCGACAAAAATTGGTAACTATGAAACCTTATATCTTGATACAAAAAAATTAAAGTTGACAACTTTGGTATCTATCGGTAGGCCTTAGGCTGCAAATACATAAAGAGCATATTTGGTTGGCTTAATGCCATGTTTACGTTAGAACTTTTTGTAGGGTTAACCTACTTTGAGAGGATTTATTTGAAGTAAAAGTAATGGATATGACAATTTAAATCTAAATCCAGTGGGTTAACCCTCATATATATAAACGTACTTTAAGTCATCGGTTTGCTTCTTCGTAGATGAACAAAGTAGTTTTAGGTTGACATAGTTCGATTTTGGTCCTAGGCTCCTTTGTTCATTTCCGAAGAAGCCAGCCGATGACTTAAGCCAGCCAAATAAGCGCTTTATGTATTCCCAGCTTTAGCGACTACTTTGGTTTCGCCACTAACTTATATAAAATTTTTGTTAATTACCGAAATTATAAGTATTTTAATCTTACCGACTTTTGTCGGTAACTCAAAAAATGACTTAGAGAATTCCACTAGAGGTAGATTAAAGATTTAGGAAGTAATTTACACTTTTTATTTTGGTGCCAATATTCTGTCAAAACATACAGAGTTCATATATGCATTGTTATTTTTCAACGTCAATTGTCTCTTTATTAGTTTTATTGATAAATCATTTTAGGCTATTTTTTGCGTTTCTTTTGGTTGTATACAGGCTGCAAAAAAGTCAAACGCCATAATTTTTACAGTTTTTTAAATTTTATTGAATGAAAGTAAAAAATGTCGGAAAAAGCATCAAATTTTAGAATAAGTTTAGATTTGTTCGAATTGGTCACCTTTAGCACGAATTATAGTCTTTAAACGGCCAATGAAACCGTCACACGCTGCCCGAATTTTGCTCTGCGGTATTTTGGCCCATTCCAAAATACTCCAGACACAATAGTCCAAAGGATTGGTATCCGGAGATTTTGATGACCATTGTGCGCTGGAGATGAAGCGAGGAACCTCATTTTGTAACCATTCTTGGGTGGCGCGTGCTGAGTCCTGTTGGAATGTCCAAGGTCTGCGGCTAAAATATTTGTATGCCCAAGGCTTACACCCTCCAGAATATTCTCGCGATAATATTCGGCATTTATTCTGATGCCACGGTCGATTAATACGAGCGGAGAGCGGCCATCGACTGTTATGGCGAGCCACACCATTACCATGGCCGGTGTTTGAGTTCTGGTGGACAACCGAAGTTTCACATTTTCAGCTGACCTCTTTGTCAAATAAACACGATCATTTTGTTTGTTTAAAAACTGCTGGACAAGGAAACTAAACTAAAACTAAATTTGGCAGTTCACCACTTTCGGCCAAGCGAAGCAACTCTTTAGCTCTTTTGAGTCTATTTTCTTTCTGTTGCGGTGTAAGTTCTTGCACTTTCTGGAATTTCAATGGCTTTACCCCGAGGTCATTTTTCAATATTTGCCCATGCGACGCGGGTATCGATTAATAGTACGTTTACGTTGTAGGGGATTTAGAAACCCCAGTCAGTTTAAATTGTCAATTCCTTTGAATATACCTCAAATAAATCTTTATAAAGAATGTTAACCCTTAAAAAAATATCTAACGTAAACATACCTTAAGTCGCTTCTGTACATTTCTGCTGATGTTGCTGTTTTCTTCCGTCCACTTCCTTGACATCGGGCTACGCCACCAGTATCGCGGTAACGAGCACAAAAGATTTATTCACATTTAAATGCTGGAGTGCTGTAACGATAGCCACTTGTGATTTTCCAGCCAAAGGATATTAAAGAAATCACACTATCACGCATGAATTCCATCACGAATAACTTTTTTCTGCAAAATTCACACCAAAATGTTTTTGTACGCTTGTAAACAATATAATGAGCTGTCACTGGAATAATTTTAACACCTGTCGGACGAGTGGCTTAGAAATGACAGCAGTCTGAAGTTTGTTGCAGTTTTTTTCATCTCAACCTGTATGTATAAGTAAACAAACGTCAGCTGAGCAGTGTTTATATCCTCGTAAGGATGTTACTAAAGACACAAAATTAACTCACTGAATCCTGTAAACGCTGTGGATTTAATCAGCTGATCTTATCGGATATAAAGATCAGCTCATGTTCTATCATTAGGTCGTCCCATGGTAGAAGAATACAGGTAGATGCATCAACGCTTGGGAACATTATTATGTCAAAAATTTTAAAATGTTTTTTTTTTTTCAAAAATAAGTAGATTTTTATAAGTGTTCTAATGCCATGTTTACGTTAGAACTTTTTTTAGGGTTAACCTTCTTTGAGAGGATTTATTTGAAGTAAAAGTAATGGATATGACAATTTAAATCCAAATCCAGTGGGTTAACCCTCATATATATAAACGTACTATAACACGACACCAATCGGATTTTTTATTATATGAATTTTTCAACAATTCTTACCAATTTTAATATTTTTTCATTCAAAATTCAGTATTGTATTATGTTTACATTGGAGTTTTTTCGCCGCTTTACTCTCAATTATGAGGGTTTATTTGGTTTATATCAGCCCTGCTCAAAACAGTGTTTTAGAACATGAGCCGAGAAAAGAGATAATTTAAGAAAAAAATAAAATTCTGTTTTTCTTTATATTTTACGGTTCTATTTAATTGTTTTTAAACACGGATGTTTGTCAAAATAATTTATAAAGCAAATGGATAAAAATATTTGTATAAATAACGACTTAACACTGTTTTGTTTTAAATAAGCAAAGAGAAATTTGACTGAAAAGAGATATTTTTTCTTGAGCACCACTTGTTTATATCCACTGTGTTTACTAATTCATTCAGAGAAAGTCAGGGCCGTCGCTTGGCTATACGACACAGGATACAGAGATCCGATAATATTATCTTCTCTGATTTTCTTTTTCAATTTATACGCGAATTTAAACCCGTGGACAAGAGACATACTTTTTAATGGTAGAGTGCTTATGAAGCGTCTAAAAGTAAACTTTTCAAACATGATTGTTTTGTTCTTTTTAGACAATAATTTGGCTTCCACCTTTAGGATGAATTTTGCCAAAAATTTATTAAAATAAGTGGTTAATAATATAATGGAATCATTATCGCCGTAACTGCTCCAATGTAAACGTTGCGTATAAAATAAACATGCCATTTAAATTGCCGAAAAATCCAATGAGTTATTTTATTATCTATCTATTAGAGCGTTTATATCGTAATAATTAGCAAATCTAAAGAATATATGTCATTTTTCAATATTTAAACCTATTAAGATTGCCAATTGTAAGGCTTACCCGGCTAAAGAGTTTTATGTAAATTAACTTTAAGTTTCATTATTTACCATTCATTATTATTAGTATTATTTTGATATATGACGACCTGCCTCAATAAAATTTTTAGATTTCACGAATTCCCTAAAAAACTAAGCAATTACAATGACATCTTTATTGAAATAAATAATTATATTACGAAAACTCAATTTATATTGATGCTGTAATGCAAATTTCTATCTTCACACAATTTCATTCATTCCTTTGAGTCTACTTCCCACATTTGACATTTCATTGCAACGAGTAGGCCAAACTCTTCAACGAGTAAATATAGAAATAGAGGTAAGAATTCAAATGGAAAAACAAATAACGACTACAAGAGAGCCAGTCATAAGCTAATGAGCGACAGAGTGGTTTGTGAGAGAACAAAATAAAATAATTGAGTTCAAACAGGCACCGAAATAAGCCACAAAACGAAGAACAAGAATGCAAAGAGAAATAAAAACTCATTCATAATTTAAATTAATTCAAATCAATATTAAAGTGTTTTGTGTGTTTGACGAAAAAAGGAAATTTTTGGTTCAAAAGAAACAAATCTGTTTGACAAAGTTGGCAAATCAAAGAACGTGTTGTTATCGATATCCAATAAGAATACGTTTTATGTTATTGTGAATGATATTTCTAAATGAAATGCAAGTGTCAATCGTGTGTGTTGTTTTTCTTTACGGGAAAAAAGAAAGATTAATATCACAAATATTGCATGTGAAATAAATTGAAATAATCAATAAAGTGAGCGAGTGCATTTTTGCGGAATTTAATAGTTGCTTGCCGTTTAATCCGCTGTGCGGTCTTATCAGAAATTGCCACTGCGTTTTTTTTTGTTTTGTTTGCGGCCGCAAGTGTGCAAATTTTCCTATTGATAACCAAAGAAAAAAAAGAACAACAAAAATCTGTCAAACAATTTAATTCCTTTGCGGCGAAGCCCATTGACTGTAACAAAGGTAATTTGTCGTTTTTATTATTACATCTGAATAATAGTAAATCAATAAAAATATTGCTGTTTCCATAAAGAGGCATATCTCTGCGGAATTGGTATAGTTTTGGTTACCGGAAACCAGGGGTTCATTAAATAAATCAATGCTTTAGGGTTAGGTGGTTCGCATTTGCCTGTATTGGATTTATTAAACTAAATATTTGATTTTTTCTAGATTTTACTGATAACAATGGAATCAACTACGGCTCATAATCAGTTTTGATTCCTCAATTCCTTTTTATACATACCTAATTAGCGCTTTTGTTCTTTGGATGCAGCCATGTTAAAAAAAATTGAAATAGGTTTTCCAACATATATATGCATTTATAGGTGGTCGTACCCAATAAAGACGTTTTCAGAATTGTAACAACCCCGACCGGTTGCCTGGATGTGAACCCGGACATATATTTTTTTATTGAATACAAAATAAATATAAGCAGAGCAAACTTTTCAAATAGATTGTTCTGAAGTCTCGACGTTTTTGATTAGACTTCGACTCCCTTCCACTTTTAGCCGCGTAGCCGGTCTTGGATATACCCAGAGGAGGAAATCTGAATTCCCGGCTGTAGATTGGCTACTTACAAAAGTATGAAGTTGAGGAGAACTATGGTTCACGTAGATGGTGTTGGACATACCCAGAGCAGAAAATTTCGCTTAAAAGAAGTACCAAATTTGGAAGGGTTTTAGTTCGCGCGGCTAATTTGCCCGTCCCGAACGTAAAATAAACTGTTTACTGTTCTCAATAAGTTCAATTTTACGCAATATGTGTAGCACCGTCTTGTTGAAAGGAAAGTCAAGCCCTTGCATTTTCGACAAAAAAGTTCGATGTCGGAAGCACTCACCATTCACAGTTACGTTATGGATATTAAACCCAAAATCGACAGTTATACTTGAGCCAAAAATGAGCTTTTCGTAGATGAACACAGTGAGGATATAAAGGGTGAGATAAAAAAACTGCAACAAAAACAAACGCCATAATTTTTACATTTTATTTTAATTGAAAATTAAAAAAATTGCAAAATGACAGCAAAAAATGTCGGAAATAGCATCAAATTTTAGAATAAGTTTAACTGGTCACCTTTGACACGAATTATGGACTTCAAACGGCCAATGAAACCGTCACACGCTGCTCGAATGTTGCTCTGCGGTATTTTGGCCCATCACCGGCGAGCCGCTTGCTTGAGGTGATCCACACTTTGGTATTTTTTAGTGCCAACCTTGCTTTCCAAAATACTCCAGACACAATAGTCCAACGGATTGGTATTCTGAGATTTTGGTGGCCATTGTGGGCTTGAAATGAAGCGAGGAACCTAATTTTGTAAACATTCTTGGGTTGCGCGTGCTGTTGGAATGTCTAAGGTCTGAGGCCAAAGTGTTTGCCTGCCCAAGGCTTTAATACACCCTCCAGAATATTTTCGTGATAATATTCTGAATTTATTCTGATGCCACGGTTGATTAATAAGAGCGGAGAGCGACCGTCGGCTGTTATGGCGGCCCACGCCATCACCATGGTCGGCGCTTGAGTTCTGGTGGCCAACCGAAGATGCACATTTTCAGCTGACCTCTTTGGCAAGTAGCTAGACAACGAATGTTTTCTCATCGAAGAAAACCAAATTCGGCAGTTCACCACTTTCGGCTAAGCGAAGCAACACTTTAGCTCGTTTGAGTCTATTTTCTTTCTGTTGCGGTGTAAGTTCTTGCACTTTTTTTCAATGGCTTTACCCCGAGCTCATTTTTCAATATTTAGCGAATGTAATCTTGTAATTCAGCTCTCGAGCAATTTTTGGGCCACTGCGACGCGGGTTTCGATCAAGTCGCTTCTTTGCTATTCGAACCATTTCTGCTGGTGTTGCTGTTTTCTTCCATCCATTTCCTTGACGTCGGGTACGCCACCAGTATCACGGTAATGAGCAATGGTACGAGACACAAAATATTTATTCATATTTAAATGCTGTAGTGCTCTAACAATAGCCACTTGTAGTTTTCCAGCCAAATATAAAATATCACACTATCACGACTGAATTCCATCACGAATAACTTTTTTCTGAACAATTTTCACCAAAATGATTTTGTACGCTTGCAAACAATATAATGAGCTGTCACTCGATTAATTTTAACAGCTGTCGGACGAGTGGCTTAAAATTGACAACAGTCTGTAGTTGGTTGCAGTTTTTTCATCTCACCCTGTATGTCTTAACTTCCAATTTGAAAACATTATTGCTGTTTGTGGAATTTATCATATTCCAATTTTCAAAGTTTTCAATTAAATAAAAATGCATTTTAAACCTAACTTCTATTCATTCATCGATGTGAAATTTCGAATCTTCTGTGAAAAAAACTTTTTCTCGTCATAATTTTCTTTCTTTTCTTATGTGAGGAAGTTTTTCCAATTTTAAATGATTTTCCTTTCGACTTACCTGTTAATTCTTTTTTATTTCATTTCATTTGCTTTTCACCTTCCCTGTTTTCCCTTCTTTTTCTCTTTCATTGTTGTGCGTTGGGATTTCCATTTAAGACAAATTTTACGCACTATTTAAATACATACACTGCATTGTTTAAATAGATACCTGCAATTTCTTTGCAATTAATTTAAGCTCATTAACTGTCCGATGAGAAATGCCACATTATATGGTAAACCGATAAGACAAACCGGACAGTTTAAATGAGGATTGTCAAAGTAAATTTCTCTGTCTTTGAGATTAAATAAAAGTAACTGGTATTACGTTTCTGCCCATTTCTGGTGTGACATAAATTAATCAAAATCTGTGATTTGAATTCTATTGAAAACTATATCATAGTATAGCCGAAGAAAATATATATGGGGTTTTATATTGATGTGGATGAAAATAGGTCACCTTGGTGACAAAATATATTCCCTTGCTACAGTTTTTGCATTCCGTCAAATCACATTTCGGAACGAAATAATTTAACGATTATAAATAATACGAATGCTATGAGAACTGGAAAGGAATGTATTATTAATGTTAGGCGTATTTTTGGAGAATATCATCAGACAAACATTTCGAACCCAAAGGATAAAACAGATCAAAGCTTACATCTTGACTTCAGGTTGGAAATACAAAAATTTTGCCATTTTTGGCTGTAGGAAACGTGAAATTATCAGCTACAAGTGGGTATCACTTGAAAGCTTATGGGAAATACTTGGTTTGAACTGGTTTCGGAGTAATAAAATACAATTTGTATTTTTGTACTGGAACTTTTTTAATAATTATTGAAAAGTACTAAGATGCTAATACTACATTACAGACTACACTCAGGCCTTTGGTGTATTCCGATATTGTATACGAACTTTTAGGTCAAATAACCGGGCATTTCCCTCCCGTAAAAATTAGGTTTCCGTGATCAGGTTAAAAATACCTACAGGTGCTAAAAATATCAGGTCAATCCGAGCACAGCCACTAAACGGCACTTAAGCCGAAAAATTTGCGAAAGGATTTAGGAGTGAAGCCTTTCAAAATATAGTAGATGCAGGAATTGAAGCCAAACGACCTACCGCAATGAAGAATTTTTCGGCGAACGGCCTCTTTTGGAGTGGATACACTATTTTTTAAACAAAAAATTATTGTTCAGCGACGAAGCACATTTTTTGGCTCTCTGGCTACGTAAATAAGCAGAATTGGTGATTTTGGAATGAAGTTCAGCCAAAAGCATTGTAAAAGCTACCAATGCAACCAGAAAAAGCCGCAGTTTCGAGCGGTTTATGGGATGGTTGCATCATGGAACCATACTTCTTCAAAAGATGCTGCGAATTGTAGCTGTGCGCTACCTCGAGATGATGCCCAACTTTTTTTGTCCAAAAAGAGGTTCCATCCAGGCGGCGCCACATGTCACACAGTACCGTTCCAATACTCTTTACCAGATGGTCTGCGGAGATGAGAACATAGCTGAATGTGCAGGTCGAGGGAAATATAATTGCGACCAAGAACAAGATCCTAGGGGTCACACTCGACAGCATGCTTAAGTCGTCCGTGCAAACCACAGCTATGTACGACAAAGTGAAAAGTAGGAACAAGGCCCTCAAGGCGCTAGCCCGCATAACTTAGGTGCGGACAAGGAGACATTGTTGAACTCTTATAATGCGATAGGTCGGTCTGTGGCCAGCTATGTGGCCCAGTGTGGTCTACAAATATAAGTGCTACGCAGGTGAAGAACAGTCAGAACTTCCCGAATGATGCCCTGAGAACTGCACCAGGAAGCGAAGGTTCTTCCGTACTTCAATATAACGATATGCTTTCGCTGCAGTACCTGCCTGGGTGTTGTCTTGAGAGACATCCAAGACACAAGGCGTGTTAGGGAGGGAGGTCAAATTTTTGAGGTTACCGTTTGGCATACCATTAGAGCTAAAACGGATTACAATCGATTTTGTTAAAAACATAATGTTAGACATAATAAATTGTTTGATGATCGACCAGAGATTCGATCTAAGAAACAGATTTTTGTACCCTCTACCATACTATGGAGGGTATATTAACTTTGTCATTCCGTTTGTAACTCCTCGAATTGCTCATGACTCAATAAAGTATATATATTCTTGATCAGGGTAAAATTCTAAGTCGATTTGGCCATGTCCGTCTGTCTGTCTGTTGTAATCACGCTATCTTTCGAACGAATTGAGATAAAATGCTAAAATTTTGCACACGTGTTTATTTTTCCAGTAGGCCGGTTAAGTTCGTAAATGGGCCATGTAGGTCTACGTCTTCGTATAGCCCCCATATAACGGTACCTCCCGATATTCGGTATTTTGATGATTTTAGCGACATTATTCACCAGAATTGTTTCAAATTTGGTATTTGATGTTCGAAATGGATACTACAGCCTAAGACAGAAAATTGTCTGTGCAGGTCCACGTCTTCGTATAGCCCCCCATATAACGGTACCACCCGATATTCGGTATTTTGATGATTTTAGCGACATTACTCACCAGAATTGTTTCAAATTTGGTATTTG